TAAGGTAGGAAAGCAATTACTATAGGTTTCAGTAAATCAAACAATGAAATTATACATCTTCAGTACATCTCTTACTCAGCATTTGCATGAACAAATCTCTTGGAAGTTCATATGGAAACAGGGAGTTCGACCTCTCCTGAATAGTCTTCACAGCATGCTCAGCAGCATTCTGCACCTCGGGATCGTGAACTGGAACTGCTTGCCATCCAGGGCCATGACCATCTAATTTATAAACCACGTTAGTGCCAGCTATTACAGCTTTATCCATTTTCAAGCAGTTTCTGATTATATTTAACCTAACAAAGACCGTAAATTATGCAACATGCTTATAGAGTAACAATAGTAATGACGAGAGATATTTGTGTCAAACAATAACATCAAAGGCAGATGTCTCAATCAGTTCGGCCATAAATCAGGAAAGTTGTGTGATGAACTTCCTAAGTAAGATATTACAGAACTGCTCTCATGTTATCATCCATAGCGCTTCTTGCTTGAGCTAAGCTGTTTTTGTCACACAAAGGAAATGCAACAAAAAGGAACCAGCAATTATATTCATTTGTGCCAAATGTGCCCAAGGTAGATTACGACAACTTACATGAGAATTAAACACCGAATGAATTCAATCAAGTAAAGTGCAAGTATAATCATAGAAATAATTTTCATATATTTATTCCATACGGTATTCATCAGATACAGTAACCATCAGATTTATTCATAAGGGACCATGCCTGTAGTACATATTGCTGCTTGGTTCAGAGAAAGCAATAATTACAACAACCAAATAACCTTAAAAGTCTTATAAATATAATAACTTATGATATTAGTGAATGTCACCACAAAAGATGAAGAGGTTGTGGTGAGAAGGGTCCTTCACTTCAAGAATCTAATCACCTTTCTTAACACCAAGATCAGAAGCTGTAAATGAGGGAGCATCACCAGCATGCTTGAACTCATGCAACTCTTTGAAGTTCATCCAAGGCTTCACCCAAACTTGTGCTTCATAAAGCTTCTTTTTACCAGCATCAATAGCCTCAATAGTTAGATGATGCATGGTACCAGCAACCACCTGTTCTCGTGCTTTCACCACACGTACAAACTCAAGCAAAGCATTCTTCAAATAAAAACTTTATGTTAGGGAGCAGTTTTTGTTTATGTAACCAAAATTAGTCAAAATAAAATGAAAGAACGAGGGGAAAAAGCGAGGTGACAATAAAACTATTATTTCAATGCAACTCAGACTCGGGTTTAGGTACGTGCACCCTGTAATGGTTATTCACTTTTCCAGTATGTTCATTGTTGATTTGATCGGTTGAAGAGACATTTTCATTTAGACATCAAAAACGTATATTGATCCAGAAAAAGGCACAAAAGAGCAAGCAAATGACATTAACGATATATGTTTCTTATCACCACATTTGGTTTGATTATGACCGTATTACCCTTCGTTCACTTTACTAGTCACAAAGAGTTGCAGTTTCACCATCTCCCTTGTGTTTCTTCACTTTGTTTATTATCCCTACTGAAATAATTTTTTTTGTTAATTGACGTTCTTCTTCCTCACATACAAACCTCTAACGTAGATTATGAAAATAATTCAAAAACACAAAATAAATGCAAAAAAAAAAAAGAAAGAAATAGGGAGGCACAACATGATCACAGGTCGGAAAATTAGTGCTCTCTGGAATTGAAAAAAAAAAAAAAATCATTGTCTCTAAAAAAAGATTTTACTAAAATTTGGTAAATGAACAGAGAAGATGAAAAAAAAAAAAAAAACATTGAAAACGATGTGTTATGAATAGATAATGATGAGATTAAATTTACAAAAAACTTTAAAAAATTTCATGACAAAAATGTTTTGCAGATAAATCTTTTCTTTTAATCATCCCAAATCAGTCCAAAATTAAAAAACAAAAAAGAACAAAAGAAAAAAAAAAAAAAAGAAAACAAACCTCCTTCTTGTTATGTTCATCAACAGCGAAACGAGCAAGTTCGTGGGTCTCGCCGCTGTTCTCGCTTCCTCCGGACTCGTGCAGCCCTCCGAGAGTAGCCATGTTTTCGCTGCAAACCCTAATCTCCAGAAGAAGTGATCGCAGACACGAGAAACGAAATGATGAAAACGAAGACAAGACGAAGGAATCTCATGGGCTTAATATAGATTTCTCGGCGATTTCCTCTTTCCGAGTTTCAGTCTCGACCCTCCGGTTGATTTTGTTCGCGTCACCGACGGTCAAGATTTGACCACGTTTTATACACATGTCAGTCTAGGCATCTGTGAGTTTGCATGACTACTTGAGTCACAGGCTCTTGAGATTTCGACACGTGTACGGTGAGGATTTTCTCTATTGTTTTTAGTCGGTGTAATATTATCCTTTCCTTAATGTGTAAGCTCACAGTTGGTGGGTCCCCATTCCTTGATGGAGGCGTAATATTCGGTCATTTATCCCATTAATTCTTTTTTTTTTTATTTTATCAAAATTTTAATTTAATCAACCATTTTCAAAAATATATATATATATATATTTTTTTTTTCTCCAGTATATAACTCATAGAATATTATATTTTGGTATGAGACTGAAAAATCAAATTCTATCTCCACCTTTTATCTTTTATATATACATATATTTTTTTCTCAAGTATATAACTCATATAACATTATATTTTGACTGAAAAATTAAATTTTATCTCCACCCTTTATCTTATAAAAATATATATATATATGTATATATATATTTCTTTCTCAAATATATAACTCATATAACATTATACTTTAGTATAAGACTGAAAAATCAAATTCTATTTCCACATTTATTTTATATATATATATATAATAAATTTCTTTCTCAAGTATATAACTCATAACATTATATTTTGGTATGAGACTGAAAAATCAAATTCTATCTTTATCCTTTATCTTTTATATATATATATATATATATATAATTTTTTTTTCTTTTTTTCTCAAGTATATAACTCATATAACATTATACTTTGATATAAGACTGAAAAATTAAATTTTATCTCCACCCTTTATCTTATATATATATATATATATATAAATATATTTCTTTTTCAAGTATATAACTCATATAATATTATGCTAAAAGACTGAAAAATCAAATTCTATCTCTACCCTTTATCTTATATAAATATATATATATTTTTTTCTCAAATATATAACTCATATAACATTATACTTTGATATGAGACTGAAAAATCAAATTCTATCTCCAACTTTTATCTTATATATATATATATATATATATATTTCTTTCTTAAATATGTAACTCATATAAACATTATACTTTGGTATGAGACTGAAAAATCAAATTCTATCTCCACCCTTTATCTTATATATATATATATATATATATATATGTAAGAGTAACAATATGGTTTGGGAAAACATGTTTGAGATCCAAACCAATTCTCTAATATAAAGAAGAATAGATATAACCATCGGACTGTAATGTACTGATTAATTGGATTACATTAACTTGTACCTTTACACATTTTATATAGAACAGTAATCTCAATAAACATAAACTCCATGTGAAGGGAGTGAAAAAGCTCAGTTACAACCAGGGGGTTGGGGTGAGAACAAAAGTGTAAAATGGGAAAAGAAAATCACAAGGCTCCACTGCAAGTTCAGACCAAGAATGCTTCAAAAACATAACAA